GTCCTGTGTTTATATATGCTTTATTTCTGTATATGCCCCTCCCTTGTAATGATTGCTCCTCTCTCACTTCTGTTTTTCTCTTTTCCATGGTTCTTGCCTCTTAAATGGGAATGTCCGCTTTTTCTTTCCTACACTGACTGTTTACAGTCTCTCTCAGTATTATTAAGGCTGAAGATAACAAGCAGAAATAGCCCTCCCCCCACTCTACTGTACCGTCTGCAGACTGCAGATCTGGATTCCTCCCCAGTAAAAGAAGCCTAAAACATTTTGCTACCTGACGGAATCTGACCACAGTTTCAGATGAACCAACATCAGCAACAGAACAATGACCTTCACTTATAGTAGCAGGCTAGGTTACTATAGGGGAGGCTATATGATACACACATTATCTCTCCACCACTCCCTGACATTTGTCATCTTGTAGACTTATTTTTTCCATTTGATAGGTCTGCTTCTGTTCCTGCTTTAAATGGTGGAAGGCTGGAGGCCAGGTTTTTGAACCAAACACAGAAACTGACAGTAAGATTCCAGGTGAAGCATAAAACTGAGGGAAAGAAAAGAGGTGGAGCAGTTAGCAATAGGACAGAAAGTGGCCCCGTGAAGAGACCAGCAACAGGCTACATTTCCACATGGATAGTAAGCCTTTTGGGGCAGGAAAGAATGGGACACTGCCACTTTTGGATATGGCTGAGAGGGCAGGCAGGAAGCTTCTTGCAAAATAGTCAAACAAACATTAAAAGCTCTGCATAGAAGGCCAAGGGGGTCAGTCACAAGATCAACGAATGGAAATAAAATGGGTGCTTTAACTCAACAAAAATGAATCAGTCATGAATGGCTGATTTTTCGCTCCTGATCTTCCACAGAATTTTTAAAGGTCAATGTGCTGATTTTAATCAGTTTCAGAATCTGAGAATGCTTCATGGTAATACAACATAAACAGATGCAGTGTGGCAAGATACAATGCCACAACCATACTTTTAATAATAGCAAAGATATACACATGCTGCCACATATTAATTGCCTTAATGGTGTAAAGAAAAAAATATGCTCAAAGCATAACTGTTTCATAGTAATAGCCTTCCTGGATGAGATCCGTGTTCCTTTAGTGCAGTGTTCTCTTTCCAGTATGCCTTTAATGAAGTGAAACATTACTACCTAGCGCCTGCTCCTTGAGAGCTTCCACAGACAATATCAACAACCACAAATGTGATTCAAACATCTTTACAACTTAAAAATAAATTTTAAAAACCCTTAAATATCTGCCACAGAACCCAGTGGCCAGATTCCTCACTATAACCACTCTATCTCCCACTTTCTCTGAGTAGGATGGCCCAGAGATATAAGACAGGAGGGAAGACTCTGAGTCAGCCTGTGGAGCAGTGTGTGCTCTGTGGAAGTTATTATGGTTCAGACAATAAATTAAATCCATAAAATTACGATAGGTTGCCACCAGCTCCCCTAAAAATTAATATTAGGCTAAGAAGTGGAAGTTAGCAGGATACCTCTCCTCTCAGTCAGCTTGTAGACAATGGCTTGAAGGGATTTGTATAGTTTATTTTTCAAAGGGAAATTAAGTGAGGGAGAGGGCAATTCAAAATAGAAAAACAGTTACAAGTATAAAAGACTAATTATCTATCTCATCTAAGTACAGAGATGGGCAGGGCTTGAAAAATCCACTCGTCCACTCATCTGTGACAAGTGGAAAATGCTGCTTGACGAGTCACAGCTCCCTCCTTCTCTCCCTCCTTTCCTCCTTACACTCAGTCCGTCTATCTCTCTCTCTCTCTCTATCTGGTCCTGCAATCTTCCCCCTTCCCATTGCAAAAGGAAAAACAGCCCTCTTCTCATGAGAAGACAGTCCAAGCCACACATAGATACGTATATAGCTCTGCAAGAGAATGTAGAGTAGTCCCAATATGGAGATTCCCTGCTCCCAATTTCATCTGAATGACCTGGCTCCTTAAGAGGCTGGGCACTTTTACTTTCAGTTTTATTTTTGGTGGAGACATTCAAAAGAAATGCATTCAAAATACTGTACAAGCTTCATGACCCCACAGGCATGCAGGTAATAAAGCAACCCACGTCTGAGGGAATTTTTATTTTGGGTTTGTACACATTGTTATGTAGAAAGTGTCTAGTTTAAATTTAAATTTAAGTGTAAACATAAATTGCAAGGCTATAGTCCGGTCATGCTGACTGGTGAAATTTTTGACTGACTGGTAAGACATTCTAAAAATAGTCAAGCCCTTGAGATGGGGCAAATCTGGGAAGACATTCCCTATGTTTCCCAGCACTACTTCTTATATGGTAGGCAGAGGCCTCCTCGCTAGTAATGCTACCACCAGGAAAATAAAGCATGGTTTCCCTAAAGTTAAACTAAGCATCCAAAGACTCAGATTCTCATATTTCTTTTATACAAATGAATGGCCTATTAATACTTGGGATGACCATGACTAATTGCTCTTAATCCACTTTGATCATTCTTACATGCCTCCTTCCCAGCTTCGAAATCTGCAACACCTATTTCCTACCTCACAGATACAAACACTTGGTAAATGCTTTGATATACAAACACAAAGTGTGATGTGTTGGCTCCACTTTGAAATCCTCTTGAGCTCAGTCCTTCTCTGAAGTGACCCTGGACAGGAGATATAGGAACATAAGACAGATAAGAAGTGTGAATAAACTATCTCTCGCTAGCAAGGTTATGCTCAAAATCCTACAAGGCAGGCTTCAATAGTATGCGGACCGAGAACTCCCAGAGGTACAAGCTGGATTTTGAAGGGGCAGAGGAACTATAGACCAAATTGCTAACATGTGCTGGATTATAGAGAAAGCCAGAGAGTTCCGGAAAAATATCTACTTCTGCTTCATTGACTATGCAAAAGCCTTTGACTGTGTGGACCACAGTAAACTATGGCAATTCCTTAAAGAAATGGGAGTGCCTCACCACCTTATCTATTTCCTGAGAAACCTATATGTGGGACAGGGAGCGACAGTTAGAATTGGATATGGAACAACTGATTGGTTCAAAATTGGGAAAGGAGTACGACAAGGCTGTATATTGTCCCCCTGCTTATTCAACTCATATGCAGAATACATCATGCGAAAGGCTGGACTGGAGGAATCCCAAACCGGAATTAAGATTGCTGGAAGAAATATCAACAACCTC